GGCAGCTTCGTTTTACTTTTCCTTATTCAGTCTTCACCAACTTCACCTTATTCAGTCCTTCCTCTTCTAGCCTCCTCCATCCACTTATATTCTCCCTAACACTTTTTGATCAGGCTTCTCATTCAACTTTCTTTCACTGAATCTAGAATTAGAAGCAAATAAGAGGCTTGGTTTGTAGTAACTCCCATCTCCCCCCCTCACTTTTGTATCTTTACAACCTTCTCCACACCCTCAAACATGTTCTGCAGCTTGACTGATTTCATTCATATAGAATGGTTTTCTCCAACTTTTTTTCACCATTTTTTTCTTTTGTGTCATTTGCATTTCTTCTAAAAACATGTGTTAAAATCCAAATTGAAAATCCAGTGTCTCCAACTATTTTGATGAGGGAAAGTATTACTTATAAAAACATTTACAGATCTCTGCTGTCATGGGCCCATTTTTGTCCTTCCAGTTTCAACCTTAAATGTTCTCGGTATGACAATGTTTGCTTGCATCTTTTGACTGACTAACATTCAAATTCTTTGTTTTATACTTTTTGATCTTTATGAGATAACACTGCTTATAATTTTTGAGCATATTTCTCAACAAATAAGTAAATATTGTAAAATATTATTTCTCTGTTCTATGATGATTGTTCTGCAATGAATCATTTACTGAGAAGTACTACAGTTAGGCTCCTTGCGTCTTCCTGTTATGACAATTTATTCACAGCTAAAAATTGTGCACAACAATTGTTATAAATAGGGTCAATTTTCATTCAATCCATTTCCAATTTTTCTCCATCACTGAACTTAGACAGCTAGGTGGTACAGTGGGTTAGAGCACTGGGCCAAGAGTCAGGAAGACCTAAGTTCATATCAAGCCTCAGACATTTTCTTCCTACCTGTGTGTTTGAGCAAATCACATAACCTATTTGCCTCAGCTTCCTCATCTGTAAAATGATGATTATAATAGTACATTCCAACCAAGGTTGTTGTGAAGATTAAATGTGATAATAATTGTAAAGTGATTGGTACCTAATAAGTACTATATAAATGTTAGCTATAATAATTACTATTCTTACATTTCATTAGAATTATTTTCAGTTGTTAATTTTCTTTCAGAATGTAGATTTAAGGGGCAGCTAAGTGGCACAGTGGATAGAGCACCAGCCCTGGAGTCAGGAGGACCTGAGGTCAAATCCAGCCTCAGACACTTGACACTTACTAGTTATGTGACCCTGGGCAAGTCACTTAAAACCAAATGCCTAAGGAAAAAAAATAAGAATTCCAAGATGCTCTGTATCTTCAGGAGGACCTGAATTCAAATCCAGCCTCAGACCAAACACTTGACACTTACTAGATGTGTGACCCTGGGAATGTCACTTAACCCCAATTGCCTAAAACAAAAAAAGCAGATTTAGTTTTCATTTTAATTCTTTCTTCTGGTTTCATGTGAATTATTACATCTGTCAACTGATAAATCTGCTTTTTATTGTCTATATGTTCTTGGACAAGTCACTTAACCTTTTTCAGTCTCATTTTCCACTCTTTAAAAATAAAAGAATTGAACTAGATGAGGGAATATTATTCAGTTTTAGCTCCTACCTCACATACACTATGTAATCTTAACTGGGTCCTTACTGTTGCCAGGCAATCCTTTCGTACTTTCATAGTTGATTCACTTTCTCACTCGCTGCAGTGGTATTTCTAAATCATCCCACCTCAAATGTCTCATAGCTCCCCTCCCTCACTTCTTTCAGGTGAGAATTTTCCTCATTTTTTTGTCAAAAAAGAGACCACTATCCAAGAGCTCTTTCTTAGCTTCTCTTCTTCATCTCAATCCACTCAGTTGCCTTCCATTTTTTATCTTCCTCTTTATTCATCTCACATTAAGAGGTAGTCCCTGTTCTTGTGAAGGCAAATATCTCTATATTCCCAAGTGGTCCCATTTCATCTGACCTTCTCCAGTAGATTATTCCCTCTATCATCCTTACTCTCTCATGTTCAATCTCCCCTTATTTTCTGACCACTTCCCTAGTGCCCACAAACATGGCCTCATATTCCCTATGAAAATAATCATTTAAGACATTCAGTCTCCGAACTCTGGGCAATTTTATTTTCTACCTCCCATTCCTGGAATTAGTTCTTCTCACTTCTGCCTTCTTCTTTCACATATTCCATCAAATTCCCAGTAAAATTCCACCATCTGTTGGGAATTTACAGAAATCACCTAATGCCTTTCCTGATCTTCCTTACTGTTGGTGCCTTCTCTTTGTTGATCATATCACATCTAGCCAATAGGTAGCATTTTTGTACATAGTTGTTTGCATCTCTTCGTCACATTGTGAGTTCCTTGAGCACAAGGACCATCTTTTACCTTTCTTTGCATCCCCAGCTCTTAGCATAGTGTCTGCCACATAACATGTGCTAAATAAATGTTTATTGAATGACTAACTAAATGTCTTCTAAGGTCCATTCCACCTCTAAATCTATTATATAAATTTATCCTTGATAACTAGTGTACAAGCTCCAATCATTTTTCATGGTGGTTTTATTGCTAACACATATTGTGAGGACTGCAATGGAAAATGATAACATGAGCCATGATGTGATGTTTCCTGTCCATGGATACACTGCATCACCTACTTCATTTACATCTTCGTGGAGAACATTAGACCCAGTATTTCATCTAACTCCAATTGCCTTTTTTGTCTTTTGGTTTCATTTATAGCAAGCATGTCAAGGTTGACACAATCCATTTCTATTAGTAATGAATGCTTTTTCTGGTCACTGAATAAACATCACACATTTAGAGTAACAAGATGTAAGTTGATGATTACAGGTTGTCTCAAACCTTTGTCATTGTTAACACATGTAGCCCTACTATCCCTAACTTTCTTGTTGTCATCATAGAAACAAAAGTAGTTGGACAATGATGAGGGTTGTCGTGTTTTTTCTTTATTTGATAGGTTGCCAGGGCCAAAGAAAATATTCATTTTGTTTCTAGGAACCTATTGAAGATTTTCAGAGAGGTCAAATATAATAGAAATTATGTTTCATTCACAAACACAAGGAGAACGCAGACCTCTACAGCAATATGAAATGAACAATTTTAAAGGAATTACATACAAAAATACAAGAATATTATATTTCTATAAGCTATGCATTTGCTCAGTGCTTTCTGAATAATATTTGGGAGTCATTAGCACAGTGACTGGCAAATGGTAGGCACTGTTTAAATACTGGCTATTGCTGTTGCATTGTTTCTTTTTTATTATTAGATTTCCCTATCATCTGCCTTTCTACTTATATCTTATAAAAAATAGAAGACAATTTGTATACTACCATAATTCTCATTTACATCACTTTTGATATATTCTTATATTCTTTTGCATATTATTATATAAGATACATTCTTATATTCATTTCAGAGGTAATTCTGGGGATCTGTAAGTTTTTGGCTCTTCCAAGGTGATATGGTCTATGGAGAGGTGTGTTTACTCTTCTCCTCCACCATGCCCTGGTTTGAGAGCAACCACAAGCACTATTTTCAAGCCTGGAATTGTGACCAGAACCCCTCCTCTCCTGGGGCCATAAGCTCTGCTGTGCTAGTGCTCTTCCTTATACTGGGACTAAGACCCAGGTCTGTGAGACAGATCCAAGTCTAGGCAATGCAAGAGAGTCCTGCCCCTGGCATCAGCAGTTGGACCACTGTAAATCTCCTTCTAACACATTGTCCAATCCCCTTACCCTCTATGGGCTGAGAGGTCTAGAAACTACCATGGCTGCCACTGACTCAGTCACCTTGAGCCTTGCCCCTGGTTCACTGGGGTGCAGTCCAGGCTGGCTGGTGCAGCCTGTACTGGACTGAGCTCCTCTCTCATCCTGGTGCAACAGACCTTTTCTGACCACTTTCTAAGTTATCTTGGGCTAGAAAATTGTTTCACTCTTTGTATGGGTTCTAGAATTTGTTTAGAGTCATTATTTAAAGGTATTTTGAGGGGTTTGAGGGAAAACTCAGATGAGTCCCTGCCTTTGCGCCACCATCTTGGCTCTATCTCTCTATATTCTTGTACTTCTGAAAGACTTTAACTTAATTGAGGGTCAGAATTATATCTTTTATTAGTATCCCAAGCACCTTAGACATTACCTGGCATACAATATGCATTTAACAAACGCTTATTTTTAACTACTTGGATTTTTATATTTGCCTTTTGTTATAGAACTATTCTATTTTTACAACACTTTACAAACTTACAAAAACATTATAAAATTAATGGACTTGTTGGTTGCTATGGGATTTAGTTAAAATTAATCATCTGATAATATATAGGATGCAGATAGGAAATTTCCTGTTTTAAAAGATATTTTATTTGGTTAAATGGTTAAATTAGTTTTGCAATTCCTAAAATAATTTCAATTAAAAGCTTGAAACATTTCTGATTATCTTTATTGCAACAAAAACATACTAATGTGTCTTTTCCCCATGTCTCAGATATTAAAGTTAATCATTTTTCTAAGCTTAAGTGACTAAATTATTATTAATAAATAAAATAAATAAATTAATATTTTATGGAGCCTCGAAAGCTAGAAAATCACTTGCCATATAATCTCATTTGATCACCACAAATATGTTGTAAAATAATTGCTTTTATTCTATTTAAAAGAAGAGATAGCTGAGCATGTGAAAAGTGATTGTCTTGTCTAGGGTAACATGATTTTCTGTGGTAATTTCTCATTTTAAACCTGTTTTTAAATTATATTACATTATTATTATTTTAGTTATTATTGTAGTATCTATTTTATAATACTATATATTATTATATTTGTTATATATTTTTATTTATCATATTTTTACAATGCATTTTTAAAATATTCTTCGACAAGTAGACTTTTTCAATTTAATTTATCCAATTCTCTTGGATAACACCTTTCAGAAATTAAACAAATCTTTCATTTTCTCCTAGGATTTTTCATCACTGACCACAATTCTCTTCCTAAGACCTGGAGAAAATGATGCTTGGTTACCGGGTGTTGGGCATTCTCTTCCTTATTCAAATTGGAGTTGGAATTCTTGGGAATTTCTTTCTCTTGGGCCTACACATCCTCACTTTACTCACTGACCACAGGCTAAGGCCCATAGAGTGCATTTTTGCCCACTTAGCTTTGGCCAACTCAGAAGTCCTTCTCTCCAAGGGAATCCCTCATACAATTGTCTCTTTAGGTACCAAAAATTTATTGGATCATATTGGGTGTAAACTTATTCTTTATCTTCAAAATGTGTCCCAGAGTGTTTCTCTCAGCATCACCTGCCTCTTGAGTGGTTTTCAGGTCATCACCATCAGTCCCAATAATTCCAGGTGGGCAGGACTTAAAATCAAAGCCTCGAAGTGCATTGTCCCTTCCTGTTTCCTCTGCTGGTGCTACTACCTGCTGATGAATTTCACTTTCCTTGGGATTATGCATACTTCAAGGTATAGGACTAATAATACAAAGACATGGCAGCTGGGATATTGTTCAGTTTTAACTCCTGCCTCTCTTAATGCTGCACTTACTGCAATTGTCTTTTCTGTGCCTGATGTTATGTGTGTGGGATTCATGATCTGTTCCAGTGTCTACTTAGTGCTTCTCCTGCACAGACACCATCAGCAAGTCCAACATATTCACAATTCTCATCTCTCTACTAGAACTTTCCCTGAGAAAAGAGCCACCCATACTGTTCGCCTACTAGTAATCACCTATGTCTTCTTTTATGCCATTAATTCTATCTTGTCAATTTACCAATTAAAAAACAACAAACAAGAGACCTGGCTTGTGACTGCCTCAGACCTCCTAGCTGCATGGTTCCCAGCCATCAGCCCTTTTGTGCTGATCTTCTTTGACTCCCAAGTCCTCAAATACTGGTATGCTCTGTGGCATAGGAGACAATTTCTCCTATGCCACACTGTCCTCAACCATACTCATTCCCAGAATTCTGCCCTAACACTATAACAAGCAAGTGTCTTTCTGAAGTTAGTAGGAGAGGGAAAGGAATGGAGGAATCTAAGGATTTACAAAGGACATCTGTTATCATGTATTCAAACTGTTTCCTCTTTTAGAAGAGTGCTCTTGTTCAGATATGTTTTTGATGACACTGATACAAGTGACATGGTTATTTCTTAAATTCATGTCTCCCGATTTCAAATCTACTTTTCCTTTCATTAGAACAATGATGTAAAACTCAAATACAAACAGAGGTGACTGAACCATGCATAAGGGTCTCTGTGAGTTAAATAATGACTTTATTGTAAGATATAATACTATCTGTGTTTTAGAGGCACCTCATGGCTCAGTGCATAGAGTACTGGGCTCAGGGTCAGGAAGACCTGAGTTCAAATCCAGCTGCAAACACTTCCTAGTTTTGTGACCCTGGGCAAGTCATTTAACCTATAATTGCCTGGCAAAATGAATCCACTAGAGAAGCAAATGGAAACCATTTCTAGTACCTTTGCCACAAAAACCCAAATGGAACCATGAAGGGACAGACAAATGACTAAAAGACAACATTCTCCGCATTTTATTGTAATTTTTATTAATTTTGTTAAATTATCACAGTTACATTTTAATCCACTACAAGTCACACTCATGAGTGTCATGAACCAAAATGTGGTCCTTTGGCAGTGACAAAAGAATTTTAAATGTAGTCCATACTAGACCAGTCTCTAACCTCTGGATGGCCAGCATTGATCAAAGGAGGCCAGGAGCAGGTGAGTCAGCAATGAAAAGACAGTTTAATTTCAGACTGAGGAAAAGGGGCTTACAAGCTATGTCCTCTGGAGTCCCCTTGTTTGTGGCAGGGGTAGGATGTTTAAGCATGAAAACCACAAAAAAGCAGGCCCCAATACAGTCATTCTTAATTCTTGAGTAAACACTGCTCATGGTAGGCCCATAAGCACATGCATTTTGGGGGACAATACAGGCATTCTTAGTTCCTGTGAGAAGAGTCTCCAAGTTATTAGAACTGTTGAACCTTTTGATTGTCTCAACTCTTAATACTCCATGAGCCTCGTGATCATTCAGCCATGTGGTGAACCAGAGTCAGTGTGATGGGAACAGGATGCAGCACCAGGTTCAGTTCACTTACCAGTTACAACTACAGGAATCGTTCAGAGTAAGAAGCAATGTGATTGATCCCTTTCTGCTGCAGCATGTAGGCAGAAGTTTAAGCTCCCAGGTGAGAATCTCCTGAGAAATAGGGAAATCATCTGAGATTATCCAGAGGGTGAGCACAAAGGAATATTGTTATGCCAAGCTGAGGGCACACAGCCTACTTGCTGGGCCTTACCTCTGGACAACAGGGTGTCTCCTAACATGTTGACAGCAGTATGTTTGACATTTCTGCATTAGACCATGCCAGCACTCATATTGCTTGAGCAACATTTCTCAATTCTTCCTCCTCATCTTGGGTTCTCTAAATTGAAAAATTCTCCAAATATTTTGTGAGGAAATATGGTGTAGAAAAGAAAATAAGGAGCTTAGGAATAGGAATGCTTGAGATCCTATCTTGCCTCCATCATTTAGGAGCACCATAACATTATTAAAGTCTTGAACTTACCTGAGTCTCAGTTTTCTCATCTGCATAATTGTGATATTAATACTCTGTAATGTCTTTGCAAGGTTCTTTTTGAAGCCAAAAGGGCCTTATCGAAAAAACTGAAAAACTGAAAATACTAAATAAATATTTTATCATTATTATTAATAATTATTAGTACAACATCTTAACTTTGCTCTTAAATATTCAATTTCTCTTGGACTCACCCTTTAGCCCATTATAATTTCATCTTTATAACATGGATTAGCAAGCATCATGCTATCCAGCTTCTGACAGAGAGGAGATGAAATTATATAATATTGATAGGTGCTTATAAAGATCAACGTATATTCTTGAGATATATATTATATGTATATATTAAGTGTACATTAACACATATATATATACTCTACATGAGAATGAGGGTTTAGTTATTTTTCACTAAGTATTGTGAACATATTAAATTAATATTACCTCTGATTTCTTTTCTGTTGATATTTAATGTATTGATTCTACAATATACTGATTTCATTCCACATTAATTTTGTAATTGGATCTGCTTGCACAATTTGAATTAATCTCAGGAATCCAGCTAACCTAACTCAAATGTTGTTTAGTTTAAAAAAAAGATTATTATCCTTGTTCCAGCATCCCCTAGGATATTCCATAAATATCAGTTTATCTCACCCTACAAAATTACCATCCCCCAAAATGCTTCATTTCTCCTTCCTGGTTTTGTCTAGTTAAGGAAGCTTTTATCTCTCCCAAGAAGACAGCAAGCCTGATAGTTGTGAATCCTAGGAAAGACTACAAGGTATATATGGACCCCATTGAACAATTAATATTCTTTAATTGTTAGAGAGGGTCATGATTAGCCTTTCCTGAATGCCATCCTACCTTAACTGAATGCTAGACACCTCTCTCAATTGTAATATTCCTGCCCCATCTCTAAAATTGCCTATCAAGACCACTTCTTTGTTTGTGTTAATGATGAGGGTCCCTTCATTCTCTGAGGTCAATATCTTTGTGGAGGTTGCTAGACTGACTTAGTTAACAATAAAACACATCAGTGTTAATAAACGTTCTTACTCAGGAGGCTGCATCTAAATCTACCTTTATTGTATTTACTTGTGGCCGGAAATGCCTGCCTCCTGGCTATGGTCTGATGCTGGCAGAGTGTGAAGAGAGAAAGAATCAGGGCCAGGTGAGGGCAGTGAAGAACAAACTCTGTTTATGGATCCGAGGGCTCAGGCTTATATAGTACTGGATCAAGCAATAGTAACATTATTATTCATGAAAAGTACAAATCTAATTAGGTGATTTCCTCACTTCCTTGTACCTTGTCTGTTCCATTCTTTCCTGCGTCCTGTCCTGTACCCCATCCGTTTCCTCCCTTCCTGCATTCTGTTCTCAAGAGACGGAACGGGGGGGGGGTGAGCCAACATCCTGAGTTTCACAGCTGTCAGGCTTAGTACAATCTACAGGTAAGACCTGGGCTGGCCTAAGCCCTCCAACTCCCCATATTTATCTCTAACATTATCTCTGTCATAATGTCTTTATATATAGTCTTATATATTATCTCTAACATCTTGTCATAATGTCTTTATATTGGCAACATAGGAAATATTTTTGTATTAATTTGAATATTTCTATGAGGTTTTTTTTCCGATAGGGTAGAGAAAGAAAAGAATCATTTTAATTGAAAAACAAAATAATATTAATATAAAGAGCACACAATGACATTAATTTGCACTGGAGTCATCCTACTGTTAAGTGTTTGAAACTTGACTTGAACTTAGGATTTCCTGATGCCAGGTCCAACTCTGTATCCACTGTACCACCTAACTTTCCAAGATAACAAATGTTGGAAGTGACGCAGGAAAACCAGCACCTCAATGCACTGCTGGTAGAGCTGTGAATCAGTCCTGCAGTGCAGGAAGTATAATTTGGAACTCTTTTCCAGAAGTGACTAAACTATTCCCATGCTTTGCCCAGCAATGATATTAATAACTCTAAACACTGAAAATATCAAACAAAGAATATGACTGATATTTTCAAAAATATTTCTCATGGTTCTTTTTGTATTGTCCTAAAACTAAGCAATTAGAGCTGCCTACCTATTAAAATTTTTGGTGTATGAATAGAACGGAATGTTATTATACCATAAAAATTATGAAATGGACAAATTCATAGGGCATTTAAAGGATTTTCAAAACTGATTCAAAGTGAAGTGAGCAGAGCAAGGAGGATAATGTATATGCAATAATAAGCAAAAACAACTTTTAAAGACTATTAAAAATGAACAATGCAAGGATAAATCATAAAGTCCTAGGTCCCGAGAAGAAACCCAGTGTCCACCTCCTGAGAGATGATGGACTTCAAATGCACAGAGAGAGACACAATTTTGGATGTGGCCAATGTAAGAATTTGTGTTGGTGGACTGTTTATATTTGTTATGAGTATATTTTTTATTGTCCAATCAATGGGACAAGTGGAAAGGATTGATACTAATTGTATGAAAACAGAAGAGAAATAAAACCAAAACCAGAGATTACAAAGTGTGTGTATGTGTTTGGCACAGTGGGGGATGGAAAGCCTTCACATCTTACTTGCTTGGGTATTGATTGCTTCATTGGTTGGTTCTTGTCCTTTTTACTTGAAGAGGCTTAAATGATATCAGTATGTTAGGTTGAAGGTACAGTGTGTCCAACTGCACTTGATCAGACCAATATGAGCTTGGGTCGGACACAAATCGTCCATGTGAACATTTGATGTGGAGATGTCTCTAAATTGGCTGATGTCATGTTTCTTTTGAGCCCTGCAATTCTGCCTTGCTCATAGAGCACAGCGCCTTCTTTGAAGTGGGCACACCATGTTGGGTGGTACTATTACAGTGTTTCCCACGTCTCACAATTGATTCCAAAGTTTTTCAGAGGCACTTTGAGAGTATCTTCATATGGCTTCTTCTGACCTCTGTGTGAGGGCTTGCCTTGAGTGATTTTTCTGTAAAACAGTCTTTAAGGAAAATGTGCTTTTGACATTTGAACAATGTGGCCAGCCAATAAAAGTTGCACTCCCTGCAGTAGAATTTAAATGTTTTGTAGGTAGCTCAAGAAAAAACCTCAGTGTCCAGTAACTTCTTTTACCAAGTGATTTTCAGAATTTTCCTAAGACAATTTAAATGGAACCCATTCAATTTTTTAGCATGGCACTGGTATTGCCATAGTCCAGGTATCACAGCCATACAACAGTGAGGTCAGCACAATGGCTCAGTAGACCTTCAGTTTAGTAGGCAGTCTAATATCTTTTCTCTCCCTCACGTTCCTTCAGAATCTCCTAAACAGGGAGCTAGCTCTAGCAATACTTGCATCAACCTCATTATCTATGTATATATCTATGGAAAGCATGCTGCCAAGATAAG